AGAAGCGTGTAAGCGAGTACTGACCCATGGCGTATCGTGGGTAGACTTAGAACAGGTGTGAAAGGGACCAGACGCAGAGGCCAGTGTTACATGATTCCATTTCTAGAAAGCACCCAGCCCAGGAACTGTGTGGAGACAGGAAGCACATGAACGGCAGCCAGAGGCCGGGGCAGAGCGAGGATGGGCTGATGGTGGGGACAGCGGGTGGCTGCTAATGGGCGTGTGGTTTCTTTCCAAGCGGAAGGGTGTGTGTGACAAGATTTTACCGTAAGTCTTGTTTTCATCTTGCTTGGAGAGTGTGTCATAAAGAGCTTTGATATATTTTGAAGTTTTGGAAAAGTTTCTAGAAGATGGTTGGGAAGAAAATTTAGGAAAAAAGTTCAGTAGTAAGTTTTTTTCTAAAAAGTGGCTTTCTGTAACTTTTTAGTTTTAGGAGCACAACATAATCTAGTTTTTAAGAATCATAGTTTTTAATGTGATTCACTGTGTGAGTTATTCATAACATAATTGCAGACTTCTGACTGAATTTATTAATCCTAAAAGCAATTGCAAAGGCATATTAAATTTGGTAGTACTTGCAAATTCCTGTGTTTCCTTCCTTAACGTGCAAATGCTGCATATGTTAGATGTTACCATTCGATTGAGGAAAATGTAATTTACTCACTAGTTTGACTATAAACATTGACTAATTCCATATCAATCTAGTCATATTATTTGCTATCTGGGGTTATAGTGCTGTGATTAAATGTTTGCTGTGAAACATCAGATGAGAGGAGATCAGATGAGAGGACATGTTGTGAAAACATGTCATTGCTGGATCACTTAAGTAACTGTAGTTTTAGACTGACCTGTTACAATTTCAGAGTCACAGATGCGGGAGGTGGGCTTAATCCTTCTTTCCAACTGCAGCATTTGCTCTGTCCTGAACTTGCTGAGCAAAGCAAATGGTTGCTTATATTCCATACTGACAGTGAATAGACAAGGCACATACTTTCCTAAGATCTTGTCTGAATGCCTAGGACATTTATACCAACCTTTAGTTTATAAGGTCAGTAAGAAGCCACTCTAATGAAAGACAACTCTGAAAAAACTTAAAGTCTACCCTCTCACCACCCGTCAGACATTTGTTTCATTCTGTACATTAGAATTATATGTATTGCTTGTTCAAAAGTTAAAATTGGATCTTGGGGAAGGAAAATTCTACTGGATAGCTAAATGGTACAAAGTTTCTGTGACATTCTCTGCCTGACCCGTCTATGAATAGCTTAATAATTTTCAGCTGTTTGCTACTTTTCAAGCACATTTGTAATGTTCCAGGTCTGAAAACCAAACTTGAGCCTTGCTCAGGGATAATGTTGTTCTTAATTATTTAGGTTTGTGAGACGTGCCTGTTACTATTTAGGGTGTAGAATTTTCTGGTCTCCAAAGGAGTTCTTGCTCATGGTTGTATTTCTGGAGACCAGGGTTTGTCATTCCCTGGAGACAGCATCAAAGAATTCAACAACAGCTGTGTCAACAGAGACGTTCTTGTACATTATTGTGATTTAAAAAGAACTTGGAGGATTGTATTGTGTCCCCAAAGACTAGCTTTGTTGTCTGGAGGAGGAAGGGATTTGGAAAAGATACTTTAAAAACCAAGCTAGGTTTTTTATTGTAAAATGAAAACACTCATTCATTTATTTGATAAACAAACAAAACCTCTGTTGTATTATTTTTTTTTTTTTTTTTTTTTTTTTTTTTTTTTTTTTTTTTTTT